CAACCCCGGCGCGGTTGAAGGATGACATTCATCATACTGGTGTCCAGAAGCCACTACTCGGTGACCAAACACCCAGGGCACATGCACTATATGCAGGACACATACCTCCCCCCCTGCCCATTGATCTTGAGCATTTTCCTCCTTATCTTCAGTAAAGTGTATCCCCCACCCTTACATGTGCATTCACACCCGCGCGTGTGTGTATATGCTCGACTAGTAGTAGCTTTCAGAGTTTGCTTACTGCAACCGTGGAGACGGCAATTAAAGGGTCATTTGAAGCCAAAAATACACAAAAGAACACTACGCCTTCTGTTTGGTAAAGCATAAGCTTGCGTTCATTCCCTGCGCACGCTTCCGAACCCTTTAGTCGACATGTTAAATTACACATGAGTTAATTCAGTAAAAGCACATCAGTGCTCGCCCTGGTTTCACTAATTTATCACTTTTTAGGTTAGGATGCTACTGGCAGAAGTGCTGTGACTATGCTGTAATTGTTATTTGTAAAAATCGTACTTGCTAGAACAAGTAATTGGCCTGCACGTGCGTTAGTAGAGCGTCTGTTATTCACCTAACATGTCGCGGCCGCTGGGACGCAGAAGAAAAGGGAAGCAGCTGCTGTCGAGTAACTGGTAAGGCAAGACTGAAACAACTTCTAGGTCAAACCTAGGGGATCGAAACGCCAGAGCTTGGTCCAGATTAAATTGATTCTAATGCACGTCTCGGCGGCGGCACCTCATTGGAGGAACCAAAATCACAAAATCTGAAATTGCATATTCCAATTTTATATGAGAGAGCCAGATGGAATCAGCAAAAGAGCCACAGCTGGCTTGCGAGCCATAAATTGCCGATCCCGGCACTAGACGTTCATGTGGGACGCTAGCAAACGCCTTCTGTAAATCAGAATAAATGACGTTGTCGAATTTCGACGTCCGGAATATCTAACGAAGCTCCTAGCGAGTATTATCCCAAAATGATAAGGACGTTACGCGCAAAAGTGTTAAAAGGGATAATATTGAAGAAACGAGCACAACCGTAATGATTGTCGGCAGGTCCAGCTGCAAAGTTGTAATAGTGTCTATGCGCGCGGGTTTAGCGAGGCCTTGCCCAGTCATCTGCCAATCATGAAAGGGTGCAGGTGTTGGCGTCAGAGCTCACGAGGAATCGATTAGCTCCGGACGAGAACGCGTCAACAGCGGTGGCGAAAAAGCACAAGAGCGCGCAGTGGTAAGAGGATTAGTCAGCGCTGGGAGCGCAGCTAGACAAAGGTTTGGAAGATAAGAAGGGGGTGAATACGCGCAACACTACCGAATTCAGGCAGCCACAACGTCAACCTTACCATATTCAACCGGTGTGCGAGTACACTGCTCGGTCGAGAACAATAGGCTGGAACTACAAGAGAGATTCTGTCTGAAGCCATGTTGAAACCCTGAGAGTAAGTTGTTCTCCTCCAGGAACTTTATTTTTACCTTCTTAATGATCATTTTCATCACAGTACCGCAAATACAAGTTAAGCTAACGGGCCGATAATTGTTGACCTTCGTTCGGGACGCACCCTTGTATATCGGGTATATATTTGCCGTCTTCTCTTTGAATGGCAGTCTTCCTAATTCAAATGAAGAACGTAAGATATGTGCTAGGGGTTTTTAAAGCTCGCTTGCCAATTCTTTCAATAACTTGGCCGGCATATTGTCTGGACTGGATGATTTTGCTTCTGTGAGGCTTTGCAACACTCTTTAAACTGCAATGCTAGGAATAATAGAGATTGAATTCCTGGACCAGCGTTAACAACACCACTGCTGACGTTTTCAACAGCTCGGTTTCCCTAGTGAATACCGAGACAAAGAAACGGCCACAGTACTCGGCTTTCTCGCCATTGTCAACGACTTAAGTACTGCGACTAGGTCCTTAGTTTTCAGTCGACCATTAATATAGAGGAATAAAATTTTGCACTTGTCTTCAGCCTCTTAAAGTATTCTTGATTCATGAATTTTCCTTGCCTGAAGAAACGTTTTTTTACCGCATTTCGTTGGCGACGGAATTACTCGAGTGGTACTGGCAACCCAGTTTCCCTGAATAACTTTAATTTCTTTTTTCTTCTTTTACTGCCTGTTAAGGTCTCTTATTAACCAGGCGGGCGACTAGTCGTCTTATGTACCTTCAGCAGACAACAGCGCTTAATACGATCTGATGCAATCATTTCAAGGGACCTCCAATCGTTCTCTGGATCACCCTTGAGCAGACAGTTCAAATTTACGGACTGTAGTGCATTCATCATCCAATTAATATCTGCCTTTCATATATTTGGCTGGCCTTCCGTTCTCCTCAGATGTTGAGAATTGAGTGAGCAATCCCACATAAGCGTCGTATGATCGCTCCTACGGAGCGGGGCACTAGAATGCACTCCATCAATGTATGAGAAATGCTTCGTAAAATTCTTTTCTGGTTCTTTCGAAATCTGGTTAGTAACTTAACGTTCTGTGTCAGGAGAAGGTCGAGTGTGAGTTCTAGTAACTTAAAACTGAAGGAAGTTGGTGACCTTCGACTGTCAGATTTTCCCAGTCTATTGAAGGTGCGTTGAAATCACCAGCATTAAGAACCCATTGGTGGACAGCTGCTTCCTTCGCCAGACCAAAATGCGACTCGGCAGCTGCACTCAGGATGTTTGGTGGCCTGTATACCGCCAGAAATTCTAGGTAATGCGAATTTACCTTCTTCAGCTTTATCCACATGGATTCATACTCAAGAGCGAGGGTGCGCTCTCGTTCGATAACGGAGATCCCGGTTGTTACATATGCAGCAACCCCCACCACCTTGTCTGTTTTGACCGTCTTTGTGTATAAGCTGATATCCTTGTATCGAAATCTCAGAATCCGCGATTTCTGTTGTAAGCCACGTTTCCGTTGTGCCCTGTCAACACCAGCCCCACCTGGCCCCATCTAAATTCCGGGGCCAGGCGGGGCTAGCTG